TTTCTGACTTTGAGTGTAATGCTGCTGTTTTAAGCATAACCGACATCTGCAAGGTTAAACACTCAAAGTTCAAATAGTGGAAGAATTCATTTAAAAATTGCTTTAAAGAATACAACAGTGCTGGGAGGAGCTAGTGACATTCCTCCTGGGTTAGTTCATCACAGCCTAAATATAATTGATCCTGCCAGCAGGACATGATATATAGAATATCGAAACAGAATACCCTAACCGGTGACTAGAGATAACTACGTATGAGCTACATAATCCATCAACAACCATCGGGAATGTTGACTATGTTGACACTTCCTGAGACTCCATCTTATGCGATTCCAGTTGAACAAGTGAAAAAGTTAAATGTCGGTGATGGTAATCGAAGCTGCACCGAGCTGTTGAAATTCCGATCCCTGTGCCGGAAGCAGCAGCCCTACCACATCCAAATGTGGAGGCAAAACAAGATGCTTACTCACCCTCGAATGATCATTACTACTCAATTATTTTTGAGGCATTCTGAGTAAAACCCAGCATACCCGTGCATATCCGATTCCTGCGAAAGAAAGGAGGCACAATTATACACATTATTATTATTATTATTATTTTTATATATATATATATATATATATATGTGTGTGTGTGTGTGTTAAGCAAACAAAGAGAAGAAAATTAGGATTAAAATACTTGCGTGAATTTGAATGCCTGCGAGCAAACTACGAATGGAAGGAATATTAAATTTAAATTTCACAATTGTATACAAGAAAGAAACCGCGAGCCATAATCAGGACGTGAAAGAGGAATCCAAGTGATAATTCATCTGTTGACTCTTGACCGTGGAATCTTTTTCTCAGGTGTACGGCAAATGTCTGCCATGGCTCCCAAGTTGCTCTTTGCAGAAATACCCCATACATAGCTGGAAGACGCTGGCCACGACAGTTGAGATTCTTGAATAAATGGTGCGTAGACATGAAATTCGCGCAGTTGACTAAGACAATGTCACTCGAGTCTCCTTCACTGGTTAGTCTGGTATACTAATATGATTATGGAGTTGGCAGTTTTTTGGGCAAGTATATGTAACTTTGAACGGCGCCACACAACTCCTTGTTCCTTTTAGTCTGGGTTTCTCTGTACGTTAATGTGAAAATGCCCCTCACATAAATGATTCCTATAATGCATATTAGTAGATTAAGTAGCCGCCAGAAAGTTGAGTTTTAGATGAACACATTTCCAATGTTGTTTATATATATTTTAAGTATAACGTGACTTATGAATTTAAAGTAGCCTAATTTAGGTGAAATAGTTGTTTGTGAAATTACTATTACGCTAGTAATATGTAAATTATTGCCATCCTAGTCCACTGCGGAGTATGCATAAAGGCCAATGACAACGTGCTTTTGGTTTTTATTTTATATACACGCACGACCGAACTATGGTGAGAAAGCGAACGTACGTTTAAGAAGCGCAACCCTGTATGCATGAAGCTCTTAAGCACTTTTATTTGAATTATAATGAACAGTTTTTTTTTTTTTTTTTTTTTTTTTTTAGTGGGTATTAGCAAACAGAGCATGGTATTGAAAAAGCTGATATAATTAAATAACCACATAACTGTGGAATCAGTAACGCGAAGCTTTGCTTACACTTGTTACGAGCATTGATGCGAGCTATCCGGCCCCTCTGCAGACCGCAGATCAGCCGTAATGATCAGAACACGCCACGTCATCGTAGACGCCAATTTCAACTCAGCCGTAGGAAGCAACGGAGAAATACTTACCTGAATGAAGTTTAATCTTGTAGAGGAGACATTAGAAGTGGCTGCTGGAAGCACCTACCAAAAATACCAAAAACGACTTGAAAGCCTTGAACTTGAACCAGTGAGAGATCGTCTCGTGATTTGCATAGTTGTTATTTCACGTCGGTGGATCGGTGATCTGCGGGATAAATGGCACCAGTCTAAGGAGCAGAATTTCTCATGAAGGCCTTGGCTGATCAATACTCTCCGAAGACCACTGTGCCTACGGAGAGATGCGATACTGAACGCGGGAACCTCGACGTGCAGTAGGAGGTAGAGCGGGACATAGTCGGATGTTGATAAATGTAAACAATATGCGTGTCCTGGACATGTTGGCTGGCGACTGAACGAGAGCATAAGTGAAGCGTCAGCATCTGCGAACTCAGACAAGTGTAAGTAAGGGTCTTTTATACTTCACGTATTAGAACGCGATTGGATAGATGAGAAGGTAATAATGACGTGACAATTGAGTCTTCCTGGCAGAACTTGCGCTACGCTTTCATTTCTTTCATTGATTTGGCGTAATCCTCAGATGGGAATGCTCCCATAACCTCCTTGCTGTTTGAAGCAAGTTTATGCAACTTCAAGTTGGATCCAGCCAGCATGTCTTGTGTCCTTTTTAACAGGTCGATTGCCGTCTCTGCAGAAGGTAAGGACTTCAATCCATCATCCATATAAAAGTCTTGCTGCACGAACTGTAGGGCGTCTTGACCGAATTCCTCTTGTCCCTCTTGAGCTGCACGATGAAGACAGTAAATGGCCACTGCCAGAGAGGGACTGTTCCCAAATACGTGTACCTTCATACGGTATTCTGTGACCTCGTTCTCTGGGTTATTTTCATGAAACCAGAGGAACCTGAGGTGGTTCCTGTCTGCAGGTCGCACTTTAAAGCAGTGGAACATTTGCTGTATATCCACCATAAAGGCAACAGGCTCTTTGCGAAACCGCATGAGGACACCAAGGAGGCTGTTGTTGAGGTCAGGACCCGTCAAGAGAACCTTGTTCAGTGATGTCCCTTTGCATTGAGCACTCGAGTCAAAGACCACTCGGATCTGGGATGGCTTTTTTGGATGGTATACAGGAAAAGAAGGTAGATACCAACACTGTTCATTGGGACCAACTGAAGGAGCAATCTCTGCATGATCATTTTGGAACAGCTTCTCCATAAAGGCAATAAAGTCTCTTTTCATCTCAGGCTTCTTCCTGAAAGACCGTAGGAGTGAATTGAAGCGTTCCACAGCTTGTTGACGATTGTTTGGAAGATATTGCCTTGGCTGCTTGAATGGGAGTGGGGCAACCCATGAATTTTCCTCGTCTTTATAGACTTCTCTATCCATGATCTGCAGAAAGAGTCTGTCCTCGATAGATGGGGCTGTTCTCTCGTCGTCTTTTGTTTTCTGAAATACATCACATTCTGCTAGTCTTTGAGTCCGCTCCTTGATAAGGGACTTGGTGAATGACTCGCTTTGGGATCTATCCTTTACAGTGTAGTTGTTAGGACATGGGTGAAAGTATGTAGACTGGCCGTTTTCCATAATGTTGGTGTGGTAAGTTTGGATGAAAGTCGGTTTATGGACCTTCCCGAGGCACATGTCTCCGATGATTACCCACCCGAAGTCCAACTTTTGTGCAAAGGGAGCATTTGGTGGCCCATTCACTTGCTTATGGGCTTTGTGGACTCTGATCATATCTCTGCCTAACAGGAGAAGAATGGGAACATGATGATCGGGCTCTGGGATGTATCTTGCAAGATGTTTTAGATGCCTGTGTTTACTAACTACTCCTGGAGTGGGGATTTCAGAGCGATCGTCTGGAATTTCGTTACACTCAAGTAGCACTGGTAAGGGTAAGACTAAGCTTCCATCAAAGGATTCCACTTGAAAGCCTCGTGCTAACCTGCCTTCTGTTTCGACTGTGCCTGCGCATGTTTTGAGAGTGTAGGCTATGTTACCCTCTGTAATGTCAAACAGATCGAAGAATTCTGATCTTGCGAGCGATCTGTTACTTTGATCATCTAGTATCACATACGTTTTGAATGCCTTTTCTGGGTGGCCTTCAGGAAATACTTTCACGAGACATACCTTGGAGCATGAGCGTGGAAGTTGACCATCTCCACACACCTCTGTACAAGCTGAGGAAACCTCAGATTCCACTGGTACGTCCTCACTCACTTTGTGATCCTCAGATGTCGGAAATTGAGGTTCTTTCATCCACGGTGCTGGGCCCACTGCATGAAAAGTGGGATTTTCGTCAGTAAGCGGCACTGTAGACTGTAGATGGAAGTTCAGGTTTACGACTGCACACGGCAATTTACAGGCAACACCCAAAACTGCCGTGAATTGCCGGAAATTGACGTAGGCCTTGCTTGCCAGTTGTCCCCCCATGACCCCCCTTTTCCTAAATCTAGAGGAGGCTTTGACATGTAAATGAAAATGCTGTGAGCTATACACATGCAAATAAGGGTAGGGGAGTTTCACCCCAGGTAACATTTTTCTGAAAGATATACATCGTTCTAGGACAATCTCTGGTAGAAATAGATCAGGCTCACAGTGTTTTTTTTTTTTTTTTTTTTTTAAATTACGCATAATGCACAACAATTACAACAATAGCATGATATCCAAAAAGATAACAATCAACAAATAATAATTTCACTATAAATGAATAAGAAAAAATAAAAATAGGACAGAATTGAAAAAATAAAATAAAAAGGGGAAAAGGACTATCTATTATGTATAATATAATGATTTAAGAGAAAGCTAGAAACCAGTATTTTGTACTACTTAAAGAAAGAAAATAGCATACACATTAATTCACTTTTCAATTAGCTTCAATATTCTTTAATAAATACAATTGTATCACTACATTTTTTATCGATAGAGAGACTCAATATACAACGGAAAATCAGACCAAAAAAAAAAAAACTTCAAACAAGGTTTAGAATTATTCATTTTACTCTTATGAATATGAAATTTACCTAATAAAATTATAGGATTCATCATAACATTTACAGAAGCAGTTTTCAAATTATATGATAACATCTTTGGATGTTAATTCACAGTTATAACCAGATGTTTTTTTTTTTTTACTGGTTTATTTATTTTAAGTAGCCTAATCAAGTTATTTATTTATGCACACCCTGTTTGTATTTTTCATTTCATGGTAGCCTATATTAGGTCTATCCACCTTATTCCTAATTTAAAAAGAACTAACAGCAACAGAAAAGTCATGGACAGCCGAGGACAACTCTATCAAGAGCTTTGATTTCAACCACAGTCGAAATCCAGTGAACGTCACTCTGATTGGCTGAGGCAGCATATCATCATAACCCAACCTGTAACGCCAGCCACTCTGATAGGCCGAGGCAACATGCGAGCCATGTGGCGCGAGCGGCGCGATTCAGCGTGTTTTTCACATGGTTGGTTTTTCAAGCAGAAAATAACGGCACAGATGCAAAACCCCAATAAAGGAAGCAGAAAATAACGGCACAGATATTCAGCCTACATCGCCGTCATGATCACTGGTGAACCCATCTCCTCTAAATTGAAGGTAAGTTCGTCCAATCTAGTGAATTCTATGTCCATGTCTACTTATAGTGTTTGGTAGTTTAGCGTTATTGTCTTAAACTTCACAAACCTGCTGTGATTACTGCCGCGAATGTTCAAGGGCGTTAACCTTAACGGCACAGTTTTTTTGTTTTGCGTTAGCTTGCTGCTCTTAATTCTTTTTTAGTTTCATGTCAATTTGGGACACTAAATTGTATTTTGCACGTTGTTATCTGGCTGCTAGGTAGCTACCATTCTTTGCTAGTAATCAAACTAACTCGTATTGGGTGTTCAACGGGCTTTTCCCAATGCGTTTACTCTGAATATCGTCAGAAATTATGGAAAAATTATATGTGCCAGGATCATACAAACTCAAAGTTCGTAATGTGCTTGTATGCTCTAGTGTAGGCTATCCTTGTTTGTAAAACTGCAACGCTGTTGTGTGATGGAGTGAAATCTTTAACTCCATCTGTTTGTGATGTTTGTTAACGCATTTGTTTTGTCTCTCAGGTGCTGTAAGGAGTGAGGTGCCCTTCCCTGATAGGAGAAAAAACACCTAAACAAGGTAACGTTACGTGTTGTGATCTCATCCTCTTTTCTTTTGATCAGGCCCCAGTCAAATAAACAGTAAAACTAAACTAATTTGGTATTAACGTCTGTGTTTACGGATGACTTTGAGAGTAAGACAGTGGTGAAAACGCCAAAGAGAACTGGAACATGGCATGTTATTCATTAATGTTTGGCCAAGTTTAAATGTTACTAGGTCCAGTGTTCGATTCACCATCAGGTCCTGCACAGAGATTGTTCGAGGCACACCTTCAGGTCCAGACATGATGGGTCACGGCACGTACAGTGATGGTGCGAGGCACACAGTCTTCAAATCACTGCTATTACTTTGAATCTGAATCAGAAAGAGCTTTATTATCTAGTGTGCTTGCCTTGCACACATAAGGAATTTGTTTGTGTGCTGAGGCTTCCAGTGCACATATACTAACACAACAGGAAATGTATTATAATTACAAAATTATTTTAATTTCAGGAATAACCATATGGAACTAATAAATCCATGAAGACCGATCCCGTAGTGATGCCCCCAGTCCCCCGCCCAGGTCCAGACATGATAAAAGAGTACAGCGCAGTGATCTCAGCACATGACAGGCACGGTGAGTTGTCGGCTGCGTTCACATTAAGCTCATTTAGGATTATTTTGCTATTCAGGTGGTGGTCATATGACCCTGGATGCCTGTTACACAGTGTACACATTGCTTTGAACAAGAAATCAAGTAATTTAGAATTTTTTTACAATTAAGGCCGCAATTTTCATCAAAGTACTTTGCAGTTAACCAAGTTTTATAGATGTATCTCTAATTGTTACAATATTGCAGATTTATTATTTATCATCTTATAAATATGTTCAGTTTCATCATTTGATAATAACTTGTATAACACATTTTTTGTGGTGTAGATGCAGTGACTGAGACTGGGAGATGCAGTGACTGAGACTGGTAAGTATTGATCTATTGGCAGTGGAGAAGACACTTTTAATAGACACCTTCTCTCTTGTGAGCTAGCAAACTTTGCTATTCTAATAGAGCATTGCAAACCTCACCAAATGTGTTTGTTTATTTCAGTGTTCCAGAAAAATGTCCTGAAACTACTGGTCGACATCCGCCATCGCCTGAAGGAAACCAGGTAGTGGATGCAAAGGAAACATATTTTTGCTTACAAATGTGGGGACTTGGGGCAGATTGCCTTTGCATACATCTAAATCATTGGTCTTTTTCAACTTTGAAGAAGGGATCATGAAATTTGGTTCCATAGCCACTGAGGTGTATGTACATCAAGGTGAACGTGTGTGAGCACCTCAAGCACGCGTCGCAAAGACTTGGAGGTGGAGGATTCACTACGCCCCGATGAGCCTACAGGACTTGAATTAAGAGTTTTAAAGGGATAGTTCACTTTAAAATTAATTTTTGATATGTTTAGCTTACCTCAAGGGCATCCAAGATGTAGGTGTCTTTGTTTCCACAGTAGTTTCAATTTTTATATTTTTACGTCAAACCATTCTTGTCTGTCAGTCATATAATGGAAATCTATGGGGATCTCTTAAAAGAGCATGCACAGAGAAATCCAGATTAAACATGATTTAATGACTCGTAACTGTAAGTACACATTGATGGCTTAAGATACGAAACGAGCGGTTTGTGTGAGAAAATGAACAGTGTGTGTATATATATATATATATATATATAAACTGTTTGTTTTCTCTCACAAATCGCTCGTTTCGTGTCTTAGGCCATCAATGTGTACTTAATTTATGAGTCATTAAATCATGTTTAATTTGGACTTCTCTGTGCATGCTCTTTGAGGTGGTGACCATAGACCTCCATTATATGACTGACAGACAAGAACGGTTTGACCTAAAAATATCAAAATTGAAAATATTGTGGAAACAAAGACACCTACATCTTGGATGCCCTTGAGGTAAGCTAAAACATATCAAAAATTAATTTCAAACTGAACTATCCCTATAAATTACATCCTTATTATTTGTTCATAATTATGCCTCCACTGTACATTGTGTTTGATATATCTGGTGCCCAATTCTGATGCCATTCAGGGCAATTTATTTTTGAATAAAGATGCAATATATTATTGATTTATTTGTATAACTGTAGTGCTGTATGTATGTTATCCCATGTTTCCAGAGGGTGGAGGACATGTTTTCTGTGCTTTGAAGATGTTCTCCTATGCTTTGTACATTGTGTGTTTGTTCTAATAAAGCTATTTCTTTGAATAAACAGTATCTGGCATATGTTCCTTTCCTCAATAAATTCATGTCCTTGATGGTAATAATAGTTTAGTCCATAGGATAACAGTGACATGAATATACAACATAATAGCATATCATATGTCATATGTTAATATAACATAAATTATTATTATTATAATTTTATGTAAGCTGACCAATAATAACAGATCTGCCAACCAATCACGAGTGATTTTCTTGTTTAAATGTAGTGAATTTCAACCAATACTGAGTGAGGAAATTCAAGCCATTCTCTGGCAAGGCGCGCGCAGTGCTGCTATTCATATGCTAATTAAGGCCATTCACACCTCCGCGAGCGCTCCATGCATACGTCATGGTTCGTTTACGTCAATATGTGGCACAGTGGAACGCGACGTTCACAGTCTGTAAATTGTCGTTAACTGCCGAAAATTAGGGAGATTTCCGACAGTTTACGGGGACGAAAATCCCACTTTTCATGCAGTGGCCTGGATGGAGTGCTGCCATGTGGGTAACGCTGCCACACTCTAAACACTTGACATCCTGATCACAGTTCTTTGCCATGTGGGATGTGGAGCTGCAACATTTGAAGCATATGCCCTGTTGTTTGAGCAATGACTTTCTCTCTTCCATAGGTTTCATCCTGAATCATCTACATCTGAACAGAGGGTGAGGCTTATTGTGTAGAAAGCACTGTTTTGCTGGATTTACCTTATTTTTGAGTTCGCTGGCAAAAAACTCGGATCGTTGCGCATTTTAGCTTGTTGACACACAAAGTCTACAAGAAACTTGAAGGGTGGAAAGGAAACTCTGCAGTCCTCTTTGTACTTGGATCCCACCGTGAGCCACTTCTCTTGTAGGCTGAATGGCAATTTCTGAATTATCGGATTTACTCCCCGTGGTGTGTCTAGATAGGAAAGACCCATTAGACTGCCATCCAGCTTAGCTGCTTGGATCTCCATGAGCAAATCTCCCAGCTCGCGCAGTCTGTGACTGTCTCTGTTTGCTATTTTTGGAAAGCTCTCCAGTTTAGCAAATAGAGCACTTTCTACCATTTCCGGCGAGCCATATGTTTCATATAGTCTGTCCCAAATCAGCCTGAGCCCTTGTAACGGATGGTTAATGTGCACAGCTCTGATCCGTTTTGCATGTTCTGCTGACTCACACCCCAGCCATTTCACTAACAAGTCCATCTCCTCGCTAGGTGAGAGGTTAAGGTCTTTAGTGGCGTTTATGAAGGATGCCCTCCATGCTCTAAAGGTCGCTGGATGATCGTTAAACTGTGTAAGGCCGGTTGACACTAATTCACGTCTTGCGATAAACTTGACGACATCAGACATTTGATTATTTACATAAAGATTACCTTGATACTGTCCAGCTCGTAAAGGTGTAGCTGACTGAGCCTGATGATAGTCGAGCGGCACCCTTCTGTCTCCGTTCCTTTCCTCGCTGCCTGGAAATGGTGCAGATCGTGGATGGTGCCCATCTCGAGGTGACGTGAAGTGTGACTCTTGCTGAGCCGGGCATGACAGCTGTACATCCTTGGATTGCGAAATGGTAGGGTACTGCACAAACTCTGCTTTGACAAACTGAGATTTGGGTGGTATGACATAAAAACCACGCTGGCCCTCCTGCTGCATGTAGGATTCAGTACTCTGTGGTTGTTGCACTTCTGAGGCAGTTATGCTTCCGTTGTCATAAAACGGCCCATCCAGTACTGGCATTTGTAAATCTACAGCACTACCCGCTTGTTCTGCTAAGTAAGCCTGTGTGCGTTCTGTTGAATCCTCAATTGGTAGGTCTATTATGCTTGATTTTCCCCTACTTTCCTGCTCTGCAGCTGTTTCTAAGGCCTCTGCAGCTCTTTTTTGCAGCCTTAAAGTCTCTAGTGATGCCTCAAGCTGTGCTTGTTGTATTTTAAGTTCACTTTCTTTCTTAGCAAACGCTATTTCTGCTTTAGCCGCTTCGGCCTCTGCTCTAGCCATTGCAGCAGCTGTGATTACGGCTGATGGGCCTCGTGAGTGCCGTGACGAACATGATGCATTAGATACTTGCCTCCGTGATCCAGATTTGGAGCTTGACTTAGACATTGTAGGAGGAAGATCACCTTATGGGCTAGCTTGCTCCCCGCCGTGGAGTTAGAAACTAGAAGTTGGTCACTGAAGAGGTTTTCGTTTTACTGTTCTGCCCTTTATCTCAAACGCCTTGCTTGAGTATGCAGTCAGATAACGCCTCCCAAAGACAACAGACACAGGGATCGTTTCCAAGGTTTACTGTTGCCCAAGGAATAACGTAAAACTGTAAAAATACAAAATACAGAATCCTAAATGTACAGTACAGAGTAAATTACACGTTTCGCATTAACACTACAAAGGCTTTACATTGCATATAGTAGTTAGCAACTATAACAGAAATAGATTGTGCATTTACAAAACAAAGGAAAATTAAATTGACGATATAAACTTATGGATATAAGATATAGCAATTAAATATGCATAGGATTTATAATGTAGCAACATCTATGTTGTGAGATTGCGTTTGTCCATGTTAGGCTACCGTAGTTGGGGAATTGCGGATATAGTGAGTTGATCGCGCAGTTCATGCTATTCTGTAAGCTGAATAAAAATGCACCTTTAATGAAGATCACGACCCGCGTCTTACTTCATATCATGACATGGTGTCAGAATTAAGGACTTCACGCCGACATTAAGTGCAAGATGGCAAAGTTTGGACCTCCCGAGCCGTTTGATTTTTCCCAGCCAGCGGAGTGGCTTACATGGCGGCAGAGATTCTCCCGGTTCAGAGTCGCATCGAAACTGGACAAAGAGAGTGGCAAAGTGCAGGTGAACTCGCTTTTGTACTCGATGGGGAGAGATGCTGAACCTATTTACGGCTCGTTTGTGTTTCCTGCGGCAACTGAGGCCATGCCACATCCAGAATATGACTATAATCTAGTGATGCAGAAGTTTGATGAACACTTTGTCCCGAAAAGAAACGTCATCCACGATCGCGCCTGTTTTCATAAGCGCGGCCAAAGGGCCGGTGAGACAGTTGAAGCTTTCGTGCGGAGCCTGTACGAGCTTGCGCAGCACTGCGAATTCGGTGCGGGAAAGGACGAGCAGATCCGGGACCGGATCGTCATTGGGATAATGGACAAAGAGGTTTCACAAAAACTCCAGCTGGAGGCGGACCTGACTCTGGAGAGAGCCATCCAGTTTGCACGGCAAAGTGAACAAGTGAAACAACAAAGTGCAGAGCGCGTGGAAACTACAGTGAATGAGGTGAGACATAAACAGTACAATAGCACAAGGAGGAGCTATGATAAACCGCGGCAGGGACAAGGACAGAAATACAGTGAGAATAAGCTGAACTGTCAGAGATGTAATAGGATGCATGAAAAAAAAGAAAGCTGTCCAGCCCGTAACAAAAGGTGCAGGAAGTGCAATAAGATCGGACATTTTGAGGCTGTGTGTAAATCCAAAATGCTGAAAGAGGTCAGAGCAGAGGCTGCTATGGATTCAGACGAGGATTCATTTTTTATTGGAGAACTGTTCCGGAGAGCAACCACAAAATCGAAGCCAAATATCATTGAGGAGTCAAACCTGGATACTGACTGGGATGTAGAGCTACTAGTAAATGGCAGTCCGGTGGATTTTAAAATCGACACAGGTGCTGATACCACCGTTATGACTGAAGCGACTTTCAGCAGACTACTCCAAAGACCAAAACTGAACACGTCCAGGCCAACGGTGTACAGCCCTGGCGGAAAAGTCCGATGCGTGGGTAAGTTCCTTGCCACCACTACATACAAAGGCCAAAAATACCAATACTGGATTACAGTCATAAAAGGACAGTTTGTTAGTAACTTGTTGGGAAAGGCAGTGGCAAAGCGTATGGGGTTGGTAGCAAGAGTTAATGCTATCAATAGTGACTTAACAAGTGATGTGTTCGGGGAAATAGGACTACTGAACTGCGAACCTGTTAAGATCAAGCTGACTGGCGAAGCAGTCCCATACAGTGTCAACGCGCCACGCAGAATTCCATTTCCGCTCCTTCCAAAGGTGGAGAAAGAGCTAAAGCGTATGCTAAGCCTCGAGATCATAGAGAAAGTTACAGAGCCGACGGACTGGTGTGCTCCAATGGTGCCCGCTCCAAAACGCAACAAGGATGAGGTCAGAGTGTGTGTGGAT